CCAGTCCCATGGATGCTGTATGAAGCTGCACCTGTGCAGAACAGAAACTGGCCACAGCAGTTATTCCCAGAAGTTTCTGCCCCTGTGCTGGGTCAGTCACTATGGAAGTGCTTGTGGACTGGAGCTCTTTGGACCAGATGGCCTGGTATCCTTGTGCACCCCACACATACCCCACATATACCCCGCACATACCTCACATATACCCCACACATACCCCACATATACCCCACATATACTCCACACATACCCCACATAGACCCCGCACATACCCCACATATACCCCACACATACCCCGCACATACCCCACATATACCCCACATATACCCCACACATACCCCACATATACTCCACACATACCCCACATATACCCCACACATACCCCACATATACCCCACACATACCCCATATATACCCCACATATACCCCACACATACCCCACATATACCCCACACATACCCCACACATACCCCACATAGACCCCACACATACCCCACATATACCCCACATAGACCCCACACATACCCCACACATACCCCACATATACCCCACACATACCCCACATATACCGCACATATACCCCACACATACCCCACATAGACCCCACACATACCCCACATATACCCCACACATACCCCACATATACCCCACACATACCCCACATATACCGCACATATACCCCACACATACCCCACACATACCCCATGCATGCCTCTGTACTGGGTGCCCTGGGGCAATTTATGATACTGCACTGGCCTATATAGCCCTGGGCTGCAGAGATGGGAATTTTGGCCTGTATATGGATAAACCAGCCGTCACTGACTGAAAGTAATCTGATTTTGCAATTATTAAATTATAAAGTTTGCACACACACACACACACACACACGCAATTTCATGTCAGTTAAAAATGTAAGTTCAATGTTCATTTAAGTTCAGTGTCAAAAATTCAATGTATTTAATGTGTGAATAAATCTGGAGTTTGTTTTTAATATTTAACATTTCACAAAATGTAACACTTTGCGCTTACCTCTTAAAGTTATTGGTCAGTAAAAACAGTGTAACTAGAATATTCTAAGCTTCAATTCCTTTTACCCCTTTTCTGGGCTTCAATGCAACACCAACATCGGCTGACTTCCTGCATCATTCGGGGGAAAATGCTGTTTTTTGCAGTTTCTTTAGGAAAAATAGTAGCCAGGAGTATCTTTTAATCACTAGTTAACTGAAAGAAGCTGAATCTATCTCAGTCTCTCAACAGGATTAGATATATATCGACACTTTTGAATGAAAGATCACAAGTTTAACTTTCCATTTTCTCATATATGCAGTCATATCGTTTTTGATCTCAGTTGCAACAATGAAATATGTGGCTGCATGAATAGGTAAAGAATACAAATAATGTTAACTATGTAAGCTATTTGAAAAAAAAATGTCTGCTGAAGTTTGGGAGTTTTTATTTTTTTCGGCTGCCCTGGAATCTTGGAAATGAAACAGTTGTAGGAAGAATCCTGCAGAATAAGATCGTGTTTGCAAACGCTCTGCTGCTCGGCATGTTGTTCATGGGACTTTTTAACGTTAGTCTATCACAAAATACTTATTGCTCATACTTGGCCTCCAGCAGAGCTATCGAGCAAGAACTTACAGAGCAGACGAAGATATTTTCAAAAATTTAACGTTACTTCCACTGTGTCATACGCCTATAAATTTCATTCTTGGTGATCAAAGCTAACTCAAGCAAAGGGTTTTTAAACAACTTTTCCTGTTACGCCACAAGATTCATCTGCAGAACTGAAAGTCTGCAACATCAAAAAGATGGAGAAAGTAATTTCTCCTTATCTTAATCGACGTGCAATTTGAGTAATGGCCTTACACTTTGGGATTACTGACCGCTAGTGTGCTTTTAGCTTGGGGCAGAAACGCAGCCCTTTGTGGGACCCTGCTGATACATCTTCTGGCTGCACAGTGAGATGTTAGGCGATTAATGATGACAAAACATCATATTCAATTTATCTTCATAACAGCGAAGTTCTCCTACTCCAAGGTGCAAGGGTTCGGAAGCAACTGATACTGATGAGAGAAATAAACAAACCTGTATTTTTGCCTCCAATCGCATTGAAAGTTGAGTGTAACTTGTGAAATGACATAACCTGCACTCTATCCTGTGCAATCGGCGTATTGTACAGCACAGATCAAAACAGCATTTTGTTTAGGGATGTGGCGGGATGTGGGGGTACACTGAGGCCTCAATGTATCTATAAAGCTTGCGGAAGGAGCCTTCTCTGACGGGGAAGTTCCCCACCTATCACAGAAGTCACTTTTTTCTCGCTGAAGGACAAAGGTTCAGGAAAAGTCTAAACTTGGCTCGAGCAGGGAGCAGCTGAGCCGTGTTAAGGCCTGTTCATAGTTCTCCACATGCATGCATATAGAGGCATCCACTGGAATGTTTATGCCGCGATTGATGTAAACATGGTTTTCTGAGGTCAAACACTTGCAGCATCAGGATCAGTCCACACCCACCCCCCATGTTCGACAGACCCGCAAAGACACAAACACTGACACATTTGAAGAACATCTATGCAAAGATGGACAGAGTTGTAGACATTTGTATGACACGGCATGTTCACATTATAAAAATTAAAATACTGAAATCCAAAGTAAAATCTAAAATCCATCAAGTAATTGATGAAATACTTGAGCCAGATTCCTTGGTTATACTTATGAAAGCTTTTATTCTTTTGTTGTAGATGGTTCAGATTGTATCACTGTTTCAAGCAGATAGACATTGCAGTTGTAATAAATGTTTAATGTATTTTTGTATCAGACATTTATTACTCATTATTTACCTACTTAGAGGACTGATTGGCTGAAGACTCCTCACACCTGGGTTTGAACACCTGACCTACAGGTTACCCCAAAAACCTGCATACACACCGGCCCTTTGCGGATAAGATTGCCCACCCCTGGTATAGGGTATGGATGGTAGGGACATTTCCGTAGAAAAATTGTGGGAGCACAGTGTGTATTTAGGGGGAGAGGGATCCGGGGCCAATTTGGTCCACGTCAGTGTTGAAACCAAACCTACTCGCTTGCCTGTGGTTCTACTTGAACGCTTCCTCCGGTGGATTTCCCCGGTCTGTACATTGCCCCTACAGTACCCAGTGCTAAACAGCGTCAAGTGACACACAGCCTTTCGATATCTCTGCGAATTTCAGGAGTATGAACAGTTCCGGGCCCAGATTATACGTGCATAGCATGGTCCACGTGCAGAGAAGTATGTCCAGGCCTTTGCTGCTAGCGCTGGGGGGGGGAGGGGGGGCAGCTCTTGTTCTGACCTGGCCCAGGTGAGGCGGTGCTTTCGCTCATCAACTGCAGCCAAAGTCTGTGCTCAGCTATCCAGCACTCTTAGTCAGTGGGGGAAATAAGTTCCACGGAAACTTGTGAAACCGTTTTTGTGGGCTCCAGCATAATCCGGGGCCCCTATGCTGAGGGGAATCGTGGCCCATTTAATCCAGCAGGCAGAACCTGTGCGATTTCATAAGGGCTCTCCAGAGTCAGAAGGCCAGCAAGGGCAGGAATGCAAAGTAATTCAATTCAATTCGATCTCTGTATCATTTTCATGAGGTCCACACTGACCCCTGGAGGAAGGGTGCGACCCAGCACACGGACCCCTGCGTGCACTTACACTTCATGACAAACGGCTTCATAAGGAGAACATTTCAATGAAAATGTCTGCTTTACATTGTTACCTGTTTTAGAAACTCTCATTTAAATACAAAAGAAATTGCAACACTATTATTTCATGAGAGGGCAGCAAAATGACCCAGCAGGTAGCACGTCGCCTGATACCTTCAGGGTGGGGGTGGGGGTGGGGGGGTCGACATGCATAAGGCACTCAAAGTAAGCACTGGCACCCCATCCCAGCTGCACCCTATGCTGCCTGAGATGGAAAACAGGTAGAAGATACATGGAAATCCTATAAAGATTAAACTGAACAGGAGTGATCAGTTCATAATTGCTTTAAATTTTATTTACAGTGGTACAGAGGCAGTCACTCATAAATGAAATTATATATACTCTGGTAAACATAGAAACAAAAGATTAAGACTTGGCAGCGTGTCCAAATGGAATGAAAGAGTCGAGGTCCCATATCGCAGCATAAGGCGACACTTGGAGGGTGTTTCAGGGGTTAATTGAGGGCCACATGGGAGGGAAGGCAACTGATTGGCAGCTGGAAAGAAGCTCTGGGTACCAGGCGAATGAGGGACTGCCAGCAGTTTCTGTGCCTCAGTCGGGAGGGAGCCGCAGAAGCGTGAGCAGACATGCAGCAGGTCCTGGGTCAGTGAGCTTTCTCAGTGCCCCGCCAGTGTTTGCTGGGCGGCCGAGCCCCTCCTGGAAGACGGCAGATGCGTAAACAGTTTCAAAAGAGAAGACGGCAGAAGGGAAGAGAGAAAAAGGAAAGATGGAAGGCCATTGAAAATGTGAGGTGAAAAGCCTATCAGAGGCATTTCCGCTTTCCAGCACTAATCTGCAGAAGTGGCTGCAACATTCTTATCTTATCGCTGGCAACAATCGCAATTTTCGTCATGCCCAAACAGGGAGAGAAAGTCATAATGAAAGTTTGATTTTGGTGCATTCCCCTCCGCAGGCCGTGGTTTTTGGGGGTGGAGGGGGGGGGGAGCGGGGGGCTCTCAATGACAGCTGGCGATAAGAGACAAGAGGAACGCAGCGAGCTGTCTGGTCTGTACAGGAAGTGGCAGGTCAGTGGTATTGTCTGTCGGCGGGGGCCCAGCGGAGTGCCGTCAGTGCAGAAACAATGGCAAAGCCGGGCTTTGGGGAAATCGAGTCAGTCAGCACCCTCTCTCAGAGCTCCACTGACATAGGAGATAATGCGAGGAGGGAAGCTAATGCTTCAGGTTGGGGGGGGGGACCCGCCTGACAAAAGTGTGAATTCTTTTTCCTGTTCCCCCCCCCCCCCCCCACTCCTCCACAGTCTGCTCCTCAGCTCCCAGATTCATCACGCTGCCCCTTTCTGCGCATGATAATCATTCGGGGAAATTAATGGAGGAGCTGCAGACGGCCAATCTCTGGACACGGCGCCGTCACGCGCAGGAATGCTGAACCTCTCCTTCTCTGCAAGAAGAAAAGACGAAAGAAAAAATATTCCCCCTCTGAACTAGGCCAGTGTGTTCATGCTGCTGTTTGTAGTGAGGTACAAAACCCTCAGACCGCCACGCAAAAAAACTATATTTGAAGTTATTCACCTGTGCAGTAAGTGCAAATTTGCACTTACAAAGTTCCTTAGGATATGATGGTGTGTGTTACGATATTTCGACTTTACGATACGTAAATGTTTTTCACTTTCGGTACATTATGCAATGAATTACTTGACTTATTCAATACTTTATTATAACTTAGACTTTTTGTTAATGATTTTGCCCAACTGTAGGCTAATGTTTGTGGTAGGCTAGGCTAGGCTACGATGCTTATTAGGTTAGGTGTAATGTATTAAAATGCATTTTCACCTCACGATATTTTATTGGAACGTAACCACATTGTGCCCTAAAGGGAAGCTGTATATAGAAATTTACAGTCATATATGTATTTATTAAATTTCACCACCAGCAAACTTAATCATGTAAATTGATAAACTTCATTAATTATTGACGAGCCAATCATGGTGTGACAGTGGTTGAGTTAATGAATTCATGGATGGTCGCTTTAAATACGTGTGACTTGACAAGAGGTTTTGAATTGGCTAAGCTGACACATTTTGACAGATGTGAAACCCAAGTTTTACACCAGAATAAACATAATATAAACATAATTTTCTTTGGCGGCCCAAGACTGCACACTGTATATAATTCGTCCTTTACATGCATATTATATGGCTCTGTGTTTTATGAAATATATGAAAGTAACTGTGTGAGATATTACCGCGTACACGAGGCAGTACGTGAGCTGCTGAACTTTTGCTCAATGTGCTTCCTGTCCTACTTCTGCATGCACGATGAACTGTAAGCTTGGATCGCTTCAGCACGCACTTGCCAAGCAAATCAGTGTAATATAATTATAAATAAAACAGAGAGTGGGATAAATTGAGGCAGCACTATATCAAAACATCCAAGGAAGACCGAAAAGGAATTTCAGGCTGCTCGAGTTCAGGAGGAGTTGACTGAGAGAAGCAAGAGAAGCTGAAATATTAATTATTCAATCAACATGAAGAGAATGCAGGAAAATCCATTAGGGAGGTCATATCACAATTAACCCAGTCCCCTTACTATGAGTACTGCATTCTCAGTCCCCCCCCCCTCCCCACATCCCCCAGCAAACATAGCCATAGCCTTTGAATCCCCCTCCCTTGTCCCCTCACCTTTTCGACGTCGAAACTCACTCCCTCGTTAGAGGGCATCAGTGCATCAGAGCTCTGAAAAGCCCTCGGCCAGCTGGGAATAAGTGTTGGATGCTGGCACTGAAATAAAGGACGGCGTGCTTCACTTGATAGGTATTGCGCGCCTGCCTCTTTCTGCCAATCACACCCTGCGCGTAAGCCCCGCCCCCTGTGAGGCCCCGGCTGCAGCTTCCAGTAAGGTGAGTGTTCTGGCACGGGGCCCAGCATCGGTCAGCCGTATCCCTGCCATGTTCACAATCCGCTGCCAAATTAGTGGCTGCTTGCATGCGCATTCCTCCCACGGATCACGTTTCAAAGCAGGAGATCTGAGCCCAATCGGCCAATCGAAACTGAGGGCGAGACACACATTATAAAAACAAACAATGCATGCAAGCTCGTTGTTTCAATGCGACGGTACGCGCGGTGATGTGGACGCACTGGGAAATGCCTTACCCTGAAACAAGACAGCGTTATTGTGCTCATGCCGTCATGGGTGACAACAGCATTAGGTTCGACTGAATAGCATCCTGTGTATACCAGAGGCGTTTTAGCACTGCGATACTGCAGTTAGCACTGCGATAGATGAGGTTCTCCAGTTTCCTACCACAGCCCAAAAACCAGCTGTGTTTGCCAAGTTGTCCATAGGTGTGAATGGTGTGTGTGTGTGAGCCCTGTGATGGGTTGGTGCCCCATCCTGGGTTATTCCCTGCATAGGACAAGCAGGTATGGAAAATGCATGGATGTGAAAGCTGGTCTCAGTAATGATAATATCCTGGGTGATAAGTAAATGGTTTTACTAGGAAAAGCATCCCGGAATTTTAAACAATTATACTTATGCATGACTAAGGATAAAGAACATGTTTTATTTGCAAGTAAAATTTGCATATTACAAATATGAATGATACCTATAATCACCAAACATGAGCTGGCAGTGATGTCATCGCTCCTCCAAAACAATAAAACCTAAACTAACATACCGCTGAGCATAATTCACATTGTTCTCCTGTATTATTTAGACCTTTATGATTCATTACCACGGATCCTTATGAACTAGCTGAAATGACTGAATGACTGTTCATTAATGAAATAGCTTCCATGCAGTCACTAGATTTATTAATGTATTTCTCATAGCATGACACACAAACAGATATTTGATTGAAATGCACACAAATGTACAAAATCTACAAATGTAAAGGCACATTTTTTTAACTACTATCTTTTTGCTTTGGGGGGAAGGGCGGGTGGATGAAGCTGAGAGGATGCCAGAGTGACAGCATCAGTGATAATTTGAGCGTGATAGTTGGCAGGGCAGGAGGTATGCAGGAGTAAATGCTGAAGGGACGAGTGGGAGAGAGGGATAGGATTTCACTGGGTGACGGAGTGAAAGCGTAGCTGGTTAGTGGTGGGAGATGATGAGAGGATGAGGCAGGGTAACAGTGAGAGACGGTAAGAGGGTGAGGAGGTGACAGGATGATCAGATATGAGGGGGAGCGGATGAAGGCGACAGGGACATTTTACGAGCATCAAAAGCAGCTCTGGCGCTCGCCTGAGTGTGGCAGCTAGATCCTGAAGATCATGCACATCAGCTCACCCCACCCAGCCCCTGCTGCCTCTCCTTTCGACATATACCAATGTCCCTTTACTCCATTGCTCACTTACACTTTATTTTTTTATCTTTAATTCTTTAAATTCCGATTCGATTCAATTCAATTCAATTTTTCATACTAGCATTATGCATGAAATTCTATCATAATATACTATTAGCTGCTAAATTTTACAACCATAATTAATACATTGAACATAACATTAATAATAATAATAACAATAATAATGATAATAATAATTTGGTAATTTTTTTTTTAGTTTATCCATTTACTTATTTATTGAATGATTGTTTCTGATTACCTGGCCAGTCGATTGAGGTAATTGTCCTCTTTTGTAAGGATAAGTCTGAAAAGGCAAGAGCTCCTGTCTTTATTGAACAGAGCTAACAATCAGAGTGGGAGGGTGCATGGTACAGCCATGCCCCATAGGTTCAGCATGTAAAGAGGGCATGCAGCCCCCCCACCCCATCCTGCCTACCCTCTGTGTGGGCAGCGATATGAGTTAACCTTTCACATGACATCATAAAGGGTCCATTTATCACCAGCCACCAAACATCGAGAAAATCATAACATCCTTTCAGGAAAATCTTATGAAAAATAACCAGACGTGTGGAGATGGAAACTCCGGCATCTCGGCTGGCGTCCAGCGCCTGCACGCCCCCCCCCCACCCCACGCCGTGACCCTCTGTGATTACCACCGCAATCGGTGCCAGCTCTTAACTCTCTGTTCCCAGACACTGCGCCGTACACAAGTGGCACTCGTCTGAAGAATGACAGGAAGAGTAGGACTCGGAGGCAGTAAAGCCCTAATGCCGAATCCATGTCTGTATTCCCAGACACTTCCTGCAGGCTTAACTTTGCTTTGTTGGCAGGATCCATATTGATTCATTCAGAAGATATGCATGTTATTTCCCCGTAAAAGAACATATAAACAAATAAGAGTGTCAGAAATCGCAGTTTTGTTTCAGTTATTAAGCTAACAGCCATTCATCTTCTGAAACGCTTATCTTCTTCAGGACCACGGGGGGTCCAGAGCCTATGGGTGCAAGGCAGGGAACAACCCAGAATGGGGCAACTCACACACAATTCAGTAACTACAATCAGCCTCAGCATGTTTTCAGACTGTGGGAGGAAACCAGAGCACCCAGAGGAAATCCCACCACAACACAAGGAGAACATGCAAACGCCACACACACAGAACCCCAGCAGGGACCCAAACCCAAATAGGCGACAGCAGTGCTAAATATTACACCACCATGCCACGTTTTGTTCAACTAATTCTATTTATTAATTGAAGTTATTCATTTACTCTTTCCAGCACAGCTAATGTTGCATGTCAGTTTGCAGAAAATGGTGTCCTTTGCAATATGTCTGTTTTAGGAACGTCTAATGAAGTACTGCCTCCCCATTGGTTCTTCATTTGGACAGCCAAACCTACCTGATCTAACTGGGGCACGATGGAAAACCTGTGGTGGAACAATGGGGCTCCGGCCTGCATGTTTGCCCTCTTCTCATTGTACCTGGAGATGTTTGATCAGACCCTGGGAGTTCTAGGATTCAGGACTTTGGTTGGTCAGCATTTAAAATCGTTAGCAGGCTTTGCAAACACTGTAGCAGAATAAGGTGATTACTTCTTTTCTTACTTGCATCGGAGTTCCCACACATCCATAATCTGTCATTACATGAGCAATCTGTCACCGAAAAACAAAACCCTTCAACAAACAAAAATAATGACAAAAGCGGGATGCCAAACATACTTCGAAGTGGAGTAGGATTCAGTCAGGGGAACGGGTACTGAAATAAACCGTCTGAAAATCCCATTCGAAGAGCAACACCCTTCACGTGCAATACCAATTCTTATCATCCAAAGAAAACAAGTTCTCCTGAAAAGCCATAATTACAGCTGTCTTTCAGCGCTCACTACAGAGAACTGGCTGTGTTCTTACCGTCTTCATACCGACGAAACCTCAGCGCTCACACTGCTATTAGGCTCCTAGCTCACATAAAAGCCGGGACAACAGGTATAACAGGGGCAAGATGAAGCACCGGTACAACATTTAATGTGCTAAAGAACTCCCCGTATGGGAGAATATGAAAATATGTCTCCTTGCATGCTTGGACAACTGGATGGCTCTCATTCGTTCTATAAATTAATAGCTAGGTACACTCTATGCATAATTTATTAGCTTGGGAGAGTACAGGCCTGAGAGTCACAATCTGGGCACATGTTTTGGGGCTGATACCAAAAAATAGAATCCAGTCTTATGTGACAGGTGAGCTAAACGCATGGAGTGGTTACCTGACTTCACCCTGCCCACACACCCACACACTGCCTCACTGCATGCAGGAGTACCTCAGCAGAGTACTTCAGCAGAGTACTTCAAAGAGTATGCTTTTTTTTCAGTGCCTGCTAGTGAAACAATTCCTGACAGTGTCACGAGTTAACTTACACTAAATATGTCTCTCTTTCTTAAAGCCGTCAAGCTACTCCTCTAATCCATTGTAATTACAGGGCTGACTAACTGTATGTAGGAAGATAGAGTGACATTACTGACCGAGTTCACGATAAAATCTTTTATGGCTCCAGCTGTGTATTACATCCCCGTGAGGCAAATAGTCATTATTTACCCATAGCAATGCTACCTTCAAAGATGTGTGAATCTGTGGCGGTAAATATGTTTTACATGCCAAACACTTAAAGATGGGTAGGTAATTATGTAGTTAAACTTTTCACGCAAAGAACCGTTTGTAACTGAACAAGCTCCACGACTTCAATTTGCATTCAAACCAGAACCACACATTACTGAAAAGGTGTTTAAGTGTTTCCCAAGAGAAAAAATGACATATTTTGGCATTAAAGCCATCATCTCCAATGTTATACTATTCCAAATATGGCAACATTTTCATAGATCATCGTCATCATCATCATCATTATTGTTGTTGTTGTTGAGCAGTTGCACACATAGGCTGGCTTCTGTATTGCGCCCCCTGGCAAACAGGCAGGTACTTCAGCCTGACCTCCCTCACGCGGTCAGCACAGAGCCACAGATACAGCATCCGCTCCGCAGTCGTGAAAATGATTTAGCTTCCTTCCACAGATAAATACAGACCTTTCACTGAGGAATGGAGCCTCCATAAGTGGAGAGGAAGACAAAGTCATTGTCAGGATATCTTCGCAAACACCTCGTTTGTCTTGATGGATGTGGGATGTCATAAATAATACTACTGACTGTGTGTTATCAGGAGGTACTGTATAGGCAGATATGAGGTATAGGCAGATATGTTCTCTTTCAGGGGCCTTAATGACACGTATTGCCTGAGTTCAGACATGACTTTGAGGTAGTCACTCAGTAGGTTGCATATATATGAAATATATGCTCTCTCTCTCTCTCTCTCTCTTTATATATATAAAATATATAAACTAGCTGTGCTCTATAGCCTCTGGGCACAAATTACATTCTAATTTGTTTGCGTTTATATTTGCCTAAAACAGGAACAACAGGGAATATCCAAAATCTCTAAAATCCCTTCTCCTGATGTGCAGAGCAGGGATCCTGAACCAAGGCTTGACTGTAGAGAGAGCCAAGGAACCAAGGTTACAGTCTCCATCTAAATAATGTCAGGCAATGAGAGCAATTAATGGAAAGTTACCATGAATTTTAGTGTAACAGTAGGAGTTTTATTATATGATTTATTATATGTTCCCCTACTGCCTGATCCCACCAATTATGCCAGTACTAAGAAGGCACATACTCTTCCCCCTGAATAAATATTGAAAAATTTCCCGAATATCCAAGGATGAAAACACGATTTATGGCTTTTTATGAAGAAGCAACTAAAAAGGACTATGTGTATAACAAGGGCACGTTCCATAGTACTTATGGGTGTCGTCCAAATTCCTCAGGCTGACCAGCACGCCGCGAAGCTCATTTCCAGCGTAAAAGCTGGAAAATCGCACGTGCCAATATTTTTATTGGAGCAAAACGATTCGGCTCAGGCAGGTGATTAAAAGGGGTCCTGAAAGCGGGGGAAATGGCGGTGACCTTCCTCTGGAGCTGGATATCCAGGCGTGCAGAAACGATTCGAGAAAAGGCATCGCTTACACCTGCTGCTCTGCTGCGAGGAAATGAAAATGGAGCTGTTAAATGTCACATAAATATGCACAAATGGCGATATCAGCCACTCAGGGCTGGGAGAGTCAGCGGTGGAAAATGAAAGATAATACCAAATGGAAAGTTGTCACCAGCAAACCTTAGACTCTTCAACTTATACCTGAACCCACTTCTTCCCAGCTCTGGTCCGGACAGGCTGCAGTGCTGGTTTTCCAGTTCAGCTCATGAGTAGAATGCTTCAATTACTTATTTTTTTTAAAAAAGCTACAGCCAACCAGGACTAGGCCTCAGAATGAGTGCTGCAACTTGTTGCTAGGCAATGCGAGTGCTGTAACTTGTCGCTAGGCAATGCGAGTGCTATGACTTGTTGCTAGGCAATGCGAGTGCTGTAAGTTGTTGCTAGGCAATGCGAGTGGTGTAAGTTGTTGCTAGGCATTGCGAGTGCTGTAAGTTGTTGCTAGGCAATGCGAGTGCTGTAAGTTGTTGCTAGGCAATGCGAGTGCTGTAACTTGTTGCTTGGCAATGCGAATGCTAAGACTTGTTGCTAGGCAATGCGAGTGCTGTAAGTTGTTGCTAGGCAATGCGAGTGCTGTAACTTGTTGCTAGGCAATGCGAGTGCTATAACTTGTTGCTAGGCAATGCGAGTCAGCAGTCAGTTAGCCACCAGGTGTGAAATGAGAACCCAAACATGAGCAATATAAAATGTACGCAAAATACGAGAAAAATATTTCTTCTTTCCTTATATTATCCATCCATCTGTCACCCATGATTTCTTTTCCAATGCAGGATAATGCTGAGCCTGGAGTTAATCCCAAATAGGGTACAAAAAGCCACAGGACACCCTAGATGAGAGGCCAGTCAATTATATTATATGTAAATAAATGTACCTTTAATAAAAAATCCCAATAACGTTTAATTCAGCTTGTAGCAACTAAAGAACTGTAGTCCTGCATTTCTTGCGCTCAGTTATCACTGCAATTCCTCTTGCGTTTATCTTTATCAGTTTTTGGTGGTTTTGCCTTTGCAGGCTAGACTTCTGTGCCTCTGATGGAAAGTCATCACTTGAGACCCATAGTCACCCTTAACCCCCCAAAAGATGCTCTAGGGGCACATTGGGGATCAGTGGCCGACTCTATGCTCTGACCCAGTGCTATGTTCTCACTCGTACATGTATGTCTCAAAGCAGAGCATGATGGGATACACGAAAGCTAAAGAACTCCTACATGCATGTGCCATTTCATCTCATTTGCAGGTCTGTAAATGG